GCATTCCTGGGGTGGAGAAGAGCACCGGGAGAGGCTTGAAGGTGACTGCACAGAGAGGGCCTGGGTGCAGGTGCAGTCCTTCGTAATGGAAGCATAGAGCCTGTCCAGGGAGCAGTGACAGCTGAAATGGGAAGTAAAAACTGGAGTCTCATTGTAGATAACAGGGTGACACTTTAATTATATATGCCACGGGAGCCATGGAACGTCTTAGGGTAAGAGAGGGTCATCATTAGATCTGTGCTTGAAGCAGCAGTGTATAGGATGGCTTGAAGTAGAACAACTAGGGAACTATTGGTTGAGCCCAGGAGAGGTAATAAATTCAGCCAGGGCTGCAAAGTTAATATCCAAAGAAGGATATGGTTTGGGGATATTTTGTGGGCCTAGAGGACTTGGTAACTGACAGGATCAAGGAAAAGAGAACTTACAAAGTTTTGGATCTGGGTGTTTTGGAGCATGAATGATACATATGCAGAAATAGAGGACTCAGGATGAGATCTAGGGTGGGGCGGGAGGGCATTGATTTCTTTTTTGAACAGCTGTGTTTGAATTGCTGGCAGGCCATCCAGCTAGAAATGTGTATGTAATTGTGTTTAACAGTTGAAGCCAAATGTACACAGCAGGGACGGAAAGAGGAAGCCTGAGCAGGCCGACAGGAGGCAGTCCGTCATCCCCGTGGGGCTGAAGGGCTAAGGTCAACTGGGGGCCTGCTCGTAGCAAATAGGTAATGTCACAGCTTCTGCACAGGTGGGAGAGGCTGCAGAGCTCAAATTCAGCAATTAGGAAGTCAGTGGCCACTTTTCAGAGAGTTTTTTTAGAGCAGATGTAGGAAGATTGCTCATTGCCATCTGTTCATCCTATGGCCTTTCCCAAGTGACCAGAACACTGGGCCAGGAGCCAGAGATATGGCTTCTAGATATGGCCACTACCTGTGTAATTTTGGGGAAGTCATGTATAGCTTGTACTAGCAAAGAAAAATAAAACTGGAAGAACCCTTTTTTTCCTAGCAACAACAGTCCATTGAACTAGTGTTCCGCAGGGCACACTGGGAAATGCTGATACAGAACCAGAATTTTAGAGCCTTAAAGAAACAAAAAACCATCTTATCCAATCCTCCCATTTAACAAAGAAACTGATACTCAAATTCTAAATCAATAAACATTGATTTCAAATACATCGATGGTACAAAACAACCCTATAAAGTAGTAATGCTTAAGCCCATTTTGGAGATTGGAAAACATGCTCCGAGAAGTTAAAAGGACTTGCCCAAGATGATAGAGCAGCAAGTGGTGGGGTGAAATTTGAACTCAGACCTCCTGAGTCAGGGCCTTCTCTGTCACACATCCTGCTGCCTGCCTGGTTTTCAACGTTGAGTACATTTAAAACCGGCTACTGGAACATTAGTAACTTAGAACATTTTCCCTTTCTTAGAAGGCATGTGTTTTAAAAGTCATTTAGTTTGACTTCATTACATATGAATATTAGTATATAAAACATGAGAGAGTACACAGCCGGCCGTTCCCAAAGTTACATTTTTAAAAAAACGGTAGAGTACTGGATCATGGGAAAGTTCATTATGTTCAGCTGTGAACAGCGGAAAGAGAACGATGATAGCTGATTTTATGTGGCACATTAAAAAATATTCTTAGCTAATCCTGCGGTTGCTTACTCTTTCCTCTTGCTACTTTTTTCCTTTGTGTTGACCAATTCCATTTTCTCCACTGCTGGCTGCCCAGTCCTGATCACACCCTCCTTAACAGAGCTGTGAGATTGCATTTATAAGCAGGAATTTGCGATAGAGGTAAAACACAGCTTCTTAGGGAGTAATTTCACAGTGTCTGACATGAGGGATCAGGATTCAGAATCTGGTTCTTTATCTTGTTAGGTATGTTACTTAAACCTCTCTGTGCTTAAGTTTAATTGTCTAGACTTAATAACAGGAGTGTCTTGCAAAGTAAAGATTAAATAGAATAAGTAAAACACTTAAATAGTGCCTAGCACATAGAAATAAGCAACAAGTACTATTATTACATCACTGAAAAAGAACTGGAGCTGATTTAAAGCATCTACTTTAATAATTTGCTTATCTAGGAGGGTTACAACTGATGAACACATTTCTTATCTTGTCCCCTAATCCAGTTAAAGATCCCTTATTCTTTTTTGTTTAAAAATTTTTTTCACATTCTTTTTTTTTTTTTTTAAAGATTTTATTTATTTATTTGAGAGAGAGAATGAGAGATAGAGAGCACGAGAGGGAAGAGGGTCAGAGGGAGAAGCAGACTCCCCGCTGAGCAGGGAGCCCGATGTGGGACTCGATCCCAGGACTCCAGGATCATGACCTGAGCCGAAGGCAGTCGCTTAACCAACTGAGCCACCCAGGCGCCCTTTTTTCACATTCTTAAGGTATAATTTACATACAATAAAATGAACCATTGTAAGGATGATAAGTTTTGACAAACCATCACTCTGGTCAAGATAGAAGACTTTTCTATCACCCCCAAAAAGTTTGTTCATGCTCTCTGAAGGCAGCCTTTCACCCTAGGCAACCACTGATCTGTGTCTGTTATGTATATTAGTTTGGCCAGGATTTCACACAGTATGTCTTCCTCTGTTTGCATAATGTCTCTAAGATACATCCACGTTGTCACATACATTAGAAATTAATTATTTATTGCCGAATACATTCTGTTGTATGGACTTACCACAGTTTGTTTTTCTGTTGATGGACATTTGGGTTGTTTCCAGTTTGGGGCCAATTTGAGTAATGCTATGACCATTCATGCACACACCTTTGTCTGAACATATGTTTTCTTTTCCCTTGGGTAAATATCAAAAATGCCCCAATTGCTGGATCACCTGTTTAAAGGAAACTGTCAAACTTTTCCTCAGGGGTTGTACCATTTTATACCCCTGCCAACTGTGTATGTCCACGTCCGCAGCAACACAGAACTGACAGTGGTATGTAACAGAATTTCATTATAGTTTAAATCTACAATTCCCTGACAACTAACGATGAGCATCTTTCTGTCCGTGTACCTTCTTTTATGATGTTATCTTTTCAAATCTGTAAGGGCTTTTCCTTTCAAATATTGAAAATATATGGTACTGGGGCGCCTGGGTGGCTCAGTCCTTTAAGCGTCTGCCTTCGGCTCAGGTCGTGACCACCAGTCCCGGTCCAGCTCCCTCTTCTGCAGAGAGTCTTCTCCCTCTGCGTGCCGCTCCCCCTGCTTGTGCACTCACTCTCTGTCTCTCAAATAAGTAAAATCTTTAAAAAAAAAAAAAAAAGTATAAAACAACAGAAACTCCTTCAAACATGATCAGATTTATCTGGCATCTATGTGTGGTTTTCTTTCCTTTTTTTTTTTTTCAAGATTTTATTTATTTGAGAGAACAGAGGGAGACGAAGAGGAAGCAGCAGCCTCCTTGCTGAGCAGGGAGCCCAATGCGGGCTTGACCCCAGGACCCTGGGATCATGACCTGAGCCGAAGGCAGACACTTAACCAACTAAGCCATCCAGGCGCCCTATGTGTGGTTTTAATCGTGGAAGAGTAAGAGAAACATCTCACTAGAAAATGCAAGACTTAGATTCAATTATTTTTTAAAGTCCTGGTAAGCAATTATTTAAAGAGCAGGATATTTAGAAAAGATGTCAGATGTATTTATTTATTTTTTTTAATGAGTCTGGAGAAGAGGATGAGATGTTTCTAAACAACTACATCAAAACAGCGGTTTTGAAATGCCTGGTGGTGAAAGTCCTTCTCAACCGTCCTCTGTGCAGGAGGAACAAGGCTGAGCAGTTAAGGTGCTCTCCAGCCACCAGGTAGGTGCCTACAGTGGTCAGTGGTCTCCCCACAGGGAGGGCTCATTGGTGGGCACTGTAAGGCATTTTATCTGGAATGTTTTCTTCTGGGAAGAAGGGCAGGCACTTAGCTCCACAGGATGCAGGGTGGAGCCTTGCTGAGGTGACTTTTTCTGCCGGACAGGCGAGTATTTCAGTTCGTTTATTCCTTCCTTCATTCACTTATTTAAGAAGTATTTGAGTACCAGTTATGTCCTAGATACTGTCTTAGGCATTGGGAACGCAGTGATGATCCAAACAGACAAAATTTTCTATTCCGCTTAGGGCCATCTGGAGCAGGTCTGGACTCTGGCAGAGAAGTTTCAGGTTGCCCTACTTCTGAGAGGCATCATAGGCCGGTCAGAACCAACTCGTACTTTCCTAGGCTCCCACTTTTGTACTCCCTTCCCCCTTTTGGTGGCATGATTAGAAAAGTGAGTAAAAGATGGAGGGGTACGTTAGAAGGTCCTAAGTGCTAAGGGGCAAAATAAAGCAGAGAAGTGGGAGAAGGAGGAGTTGGTAATTTTAGACCCGGTGTCAGTCACGGAGGTGCTACTGAAGGAAAGACCCAGAGGAGGTGAAGAACCGGTTGAGCAACTGTCTGGGGAAGAGCATCCCAGGAGAACTGTGTCTTCATAGAAACAGAGGATAAACCAAGTAGAGCTAGAGGAGGGGCTCTAAGAGCGCCGAGCCCTTGAAGTGCATGAAGGGCCATGAAGGGACAGAGGCGGGGTGGTCTCTGTAGCCACTGCAAGTCCCCGTTTTCAGAGACTTCTCGAATTCTATACAGCTCTTCGACTTGTGAAAGCCATACCCTTTCTTCTCTTTCCTTGGCAAAAGCTGATCTGCTTTATCCTGATCAGGAAATGATTAGATTCAGTAAAAAGGTTTTCCTGCTTCCTTACAATTCACTGCAGTCTTTGAAATAAGAGGCTGGATCTTCTCCTACCTAAAAGGCCCTTAAATGTTAAATAACTTGAATTGGATTGTAAGGGCTGTTTGTGTGCTGATGCCTCGCTGGGATAGTCATGCCTGTATAATAGAGAAAGAAACTTTTCTCCCCACTAAAACCCAACTTTATTATACTGATGGTTTTTAAACTACTATTTCTCTTAATCACAGATAACAACCTGGTTTTCCTTATGTTAAATACGGCATCTGGCTGATGAACAGGGTGGTGAGGCTGCCGAGTGAGGCAGAGCTGTGGGCCTGGGAAACGGAGGACGATGACATGGCAGAAGGCGACTTAGGGTATGGCCTTGGAAGAAGGCCCGGCGGTATTTACGAAGTGCAAGTTTCACGCCTGTCGACATCAAGAAAAAGATCTGATGGCAAGAACTTCAGCCCACCCCCACTTCCAGGACAGGGGGAAGAAGGAAGTGGCGCCATTTTTCAGTATTCCAGGCATAAGGGCTTGCAAGATACATACCTTGCAGAGCCCAGAACTTCCCACTCCAGGCAACAGAGTAGCAGTGGTAAGAATGCTTAGTGCCTTCTCCTGTCTCCTCCTCTCCTGTGAATTTCATCAGTGTTTTCACCCTTCCAACACCAGACAATAGGTCACTGTGGTGTGTGGGGATTCATCTTTATTCACCTTGTGGCATTGGTGCTAGTATAAAAGTAACCCATGTTTCTCTTTCCAAGTATTGTACAAATGGAGGAGTGTAGTAGTTATTCTGCATTAATACAGATACGTTAGTGATATCGGTGATTATCTACCTTGCTTTTGTGTGTGTGTGATTTAGTGGTATACGTCATCCATTTTTTTTTTTTTTAATTCAAGTATTTATTGGGTACCTATTAGGTGCCAGGGGTTGTTCGAGGCTCTGGGAACATTAGTGAACAAAATAGTCTCCATGTCATGCAGTTCACATTCTAGTAGAGGAGAGAAAAAATTAATCTACCAGTCAACAGCTATGTAACATCAGGCAGTAGTAGCTGCAGGGACAGTGAGTATTTGGAGGGGTTGGCGCATGCTCTTTCAGGCAAGGGTTGGGGTACCTATCTAAGGAGGGGGCTTTTGAGCACCAGAATGAAATGATGTCCAGGCCTGGTACTTATCTGGGGAAGGTATGTTCCAGGCAAAAGATGTATGCTTCCAGTTATTTTATGAATGTCATGAAATCCTCCCCCTAAAAATTAATCTTTTTTAAAAGTAATCTCTACACTCAGTGTGGGTAGTGCAACCCAGAGATCAAGAGTCGCACGTTCCACCAACTGAGGCAGCCAGGTGCCCCTTATAAAATTCATCTTAATTTATCAGAACAAAAAATAAATTATGCCATATATTAAAGAATAAAATTCAGAATCACATTGTGATAGAATGTTACAACTCCAAAATTGTTGGGAACCCAGGGGTGACTCCATGCCTACCTGGTGGCACAGCTCTTGTCTGGCTGAATCTTCTATAATCCATGTGGTAAACCTTTCCCCACGCAAGTGGAACAAACACAAATTAGAACAACATGAGAATAATTTAAGAAACATGGTTTTTAGATTTACAAAAAACATCCTGCAGATGAGGATCTTATCCCCCATCTTTCAAAATCCTTCTTGAAATCAGGACAGGATTATTTATATATTTTTCTTTCAGTTCCTTATCATGCATAGAGGTTGGGTTCTGTTTTGCAAGCAAGATGCTGAACACCGCACATATTGCTAAAATGCCTTTATAAGAACATGAGGAAACCACTGGGATATAAACGAAATGAAACAGTAAAAGTATGAGCTCCTGTCTTGTTGGGTTATGGACTTTTATCTCAAGTTAGCCTGATCCTACCTAAGGATATTGTACTGGTTTCTTGTCTGCTAATAGGTAATTTCCAAATTACCACAAATTTTATGCCTTAAGATAACACAAATTTATTATCTTACAGTTCTGCAGGTTAGAAATCCAAAACAGGTTTTACTGGGCTAAAATCCAGATGTCGGCAGGGCCGCGTTCCTTCTGGAGACTCTATTCCTGAGAAGAGTATCCATTCCTGAGCCTTTTTCAACTTCTAGAGCCCACCTACATTCCTTGGCTTGTGGCCACCTTCCTCCATCTTCAAAGCCAGCAATGACTGGTCAAGTCTTTCTCATGCTGTTTCACCCTGACACTGACTTTCCTGCCTCCCTCTTTCATTCATAAGGACCCTTTGTGAGTACAATGGGGTCACCTGGATAATCCAGGATAATCTCCTAGTCCTTAATTTAATCAAACCGACAAAGTCCCTTTTGCCGTATATTCACAGGTTCCGGGGATTAAGATGTGGTCATCTTTAGGGCCATTATTCTGCCTAGCACAAGTATTACTACAACAGAACTTGTCATTGCCAACCCATTGTCACTTGTCTCTCCTTGGAGCCTTGTGCCATCGGAATAAAAACAAGACTTAGTTTTTGCCTTGGATACTGTCATACTGAAAGTTCAGAACAGCAAAGAAGAAATTGTTTTGAGAAGTTTTTAATGTCCCTCAAAATACTCTTTCTAAAAAATCTTTTCTTCCTTTTACTTCTTCTTAGTCTTCTTGCTTGTAATTTACCACTTTCATGTTTTTCTATTGCCAGTGAGACCACATTGAAAATGAAGCTCCTGGGAAGCTCAGTTTAATGTCTCAATTGATCACAGTAAGGAGAGAGTAATTGAAGTTACAGGAGACTTCTAGTCATTCTCCTTGGAAAGAAATTAAATTCAGGTTATTTCTTAGATATTTCATATCACTATATTGATCAAACTTAAGCCAAACACCAGAGTTTATTTCACTCACCAACATTCATGTTTTTAAATACTGTTTTGTATGTAGTAATTAAACAATTCATTAACAAGTTTTATTAGAGAGTACCTTTTTAAGGAGTATTTTTATTCAAAAGTATGTATCTTTTCATTTGTGCAATGTTTTAAGCTACCTATTTTTATCATCATGTGGTTTATTACAATTCTTTCCTCTTGACAAAAAATTGTATTTGATATTTTGTAAACAGATGTCCTGTATTCAACTAGTTAAAAAAAAGTATTTGTTTTGTTTTTTTCCTAACAGATTCTAATTCAGAATTGTCAAGTGTAGAATTGAAGCGACGTCTTCAGGATACTTTAGAGGTAAGTACTCCGGCTAATATAAAAATTCTCCTGTGAACAAAGCCCACTGATATTTTAAATAATGCTGTCTTTCCAGATATGTTCAGTGAGCCACAGTGTAAAAGCTCATAACTTTCAACTTGTCCCCTCTGTCTCTTACCTTCCTCATCTCTCAAGAAAGCTATTTACGTAAACAGACCCTCCAGCTTGCGTTTCACCCAAACCTTTCACAAGAGAGTTACAGACTTCCCTCCGCCTTCCCTGTGTGTGGCTTGAAATAAACTGACTTAATTTAACCTCTTTGAAGTCAGAAGACAGCAGGCTTTCCAGGTGCTCTGTGTCCAGCCTGCTGCTGGGAGTAGGAGTATGTGTGCAGGGGAACAGGAAGACCCAATGTGAACTTGTAACTCTTCTGGTGAAAGCTACCGAGCTACCGTTTTGTTTTCTAGGGCTGCTGTAGCAAAGCACCACCAACAGGTGGCTTAAAACTACAGAGATTTATTCTCTCAGTTCTGGAGGCTAGAAATCTGAAATCAAGATGTCAGTTGGCCATGTTCCCTCTGGAAGGTCGAGGAGAATCCTTCTTTGCCTCGTCCTAGTTTCTGGTGGTTGCCCCTGACATTCTTGGCATTCCTTGGCTTACAGCCACATCACTGCAGTCTCTGCCTCTCTTGTCACATGGCCTTCTCCCCTTTGTGTCTGGGCCCAAACTTGCCTTGTCTCAGGACAGGAGTCATTGCATCGAGGCCTACCCTGATCCAGGATGACCTCATCTTAATCTGATTATATCTGCAAAGACCCTGTCTCCAAATAAGGTCACATTCTTAGTACCAGGAGTTAGGATTTGGACAAAACTTTCCTTGGTGGGAAAGACATAATTCAACTGATGATAGCCACTGTAGCTCTGTGGGTGAGCACGTGCTTATTGTTGGTGCTGTAGAGATTATTTTCACATTATTAGCTGTGTGGTCTGGAAGGGTAAAAGCAGAAGGTCTGGGCTTTTAGTTACAATGGGTACCTGATGCTGAGAGTTTCAGTCTAAAGCCTGCCTGGGCCACTTAGGAAGCCTGGAGGAATTTCCAGCCTCTTTTGTAAGGTCAGAGCGCTTAGATTCAGAGTGCTTGCTGAGTGTCAGAGTGTTGAGCTTACATGTAAACTATCCAAATTGATCATTTTAAGAGTTGCATATCTTACAGATATGTAGACTAATTTTATTTCTCCCCTCAGGAGGTAGAAATTTTAAAAACTGAACTTGAGGCATCTCAAAGACAACTAGAAGGTAAAGAGGAAGCACTGAAAATTCTTCAAAGCATGGTAAGAAGTTATTTTTAAATTTTGGTCACTTACACATTCCAATCATAGGTAGTATGGTTTTATCTTTTAAAATAAAAGCATCAGTGCTTAATATAGGGTGGTTTTTTTTTTGAGGTGCAGATTTTTAAAACAGTTTTACTGAGGTAAAATTTATATGCCACGGATTTCACTTGTTTTCAGTGTACAATTTATTTTTGCTAACCTTAGAGTTGCATAACCATCACCATGATCTAATTTTAGAATATTTTCAATATTCCCCAAAAGGAAGCTCTAACCCATTAGCAGTCATTACCCATTCACATCCCCAACCCCAGACAACCACTAATCTCCTTATTGTCTTTTGGATTTGTCTTTTCTATTTCATGTAAATGGAATGATATAATATGTGTCTGGATTCCTTTAATTAACATGTTTTTGAGGCTCATGCATGGTGTGGCATATGTCAGTACTTTCTTCCTTTTTATTGCCTAATATTCTATTGTATGGCTATGCCGTATTTTGGTTATCCACTCACCATTTGATGGGCACTTACGCTGTTTCCTCTTTTGGGCTCTTATGAATAACAGTGCTTTATTTGTTCATGTGCCAGTCTTTGTGTGGAAAGTTCATTCATTCATTCTCATATTCATCAGGAGAGTCAAACCAAGATCTTTTGACGTGTGAACTATCAAATTCTCTATAAAAGGTGGTCTCTGGAAATTCTCTGGTTTTCTATCATCTTAAAATAAAAATGTGAACCTTACTGTGCATTCAGGAGTAATGAGAAATTTAATTTATACTGATAGGCTTCTTATTCTTCTTAGGCAGTTTTTGGCAAAGCCACAAGTCACACCCAAATGATGCTGCAAAAAACTATGGAACGAAAGAGATCCTTGGAGAAGGTATTTGCCACTTTCAGTGTAGACTTGTGCAGTCCACTAAGCTGTCAAATAGAATTTCCTTTAAAAACCACCGTGCCGATGGGCATGTCCTTTGTGCATACCCTCTTTTAGTTGTGCTTCTATTTTATACAGTCCCTTCCCTTTTGGGGCTTACAATCCAAAACATACTATTACATGGGTAAAGAATTAAGATTTCTTTTATTGCCTCGTTTTAAGCTAGTAGGAGGCTTGCCAAGTTGACACTTTCTATTTTCCTTCTTTTTCCTCTTTCCTTTCTCTTCTTGCCTGGCAGAGCCTGCCTCTTTCTGACCATCTCATCGTCACTAAACGGTAGCTAGGAATCACCTTGGAAGGTCTTGTTCCTCTGCCAGTTGTAGCCTGCCTCGATGGCAGTGTCCTGGGCTCAAACTCCCGGGCACGTGTTTTGCTTGTGGTCTGTATGGGTTGGGGGTGGGGCAATGAGAAATCTAGGCTCTGAGCAGCAAAATTTGAAGCTGTTTCTTACAATAAGTAAGCTTTGGCAAAGCTTTTCTTGAGTGTTAAAAAGGCATGTTACGTGTGTTTACAAATGTCACAAGACTCTTTTTGAACAATAATTAGTTTCTCTTTAACCTATCCTTTCAAGTGATTAACGATTTATTTCAGCTACTCACACTGTCCTGAAGTGATCTGTAGTAATTTTCCATGAAAAGTGCTATTTTCTTTCTACAGGAAATAAATGCCTTGCAGTGGGAAATAGAGTTTGATCAGAATAGATTTAAAAATATAGAGGAATCATGGACCCAAAAATATGACAGGTTTGTATATTCTTATTCTATAGTTTTTCTTTGGAAATCTTTAAAGTGTGTATAAGTTATCTTTATTTTTATTACTATTTTTATATATTATTTTATTTATTTATTTTTTTTAAAGATTTTTATTTATTTATTTGAGAGAGAGAGAGAATGAGAGATAGAAAGCACAAGAGGGAAGAGGGTC